CTGATGAGCCATTGAGTTGAATCGCCGAGTAACAATCAGTCCCCCATTGTTCTTAAGGGCAGAGTACTCATCCGCACCAGATTTGTTTGAAATCTTTGTCATAGCAATTAACTGGAACTGAGAGTCGTAGTAAGGCCTTGCGAATTGGTGGTACCAAGCGCAGATAATAAACCTCAACGTCAAAACAAAATTATAATAAAAATGTACGTTAAAAAAAACTAGCCTGAGGAGGATGAGGAGGACGAATTGCTTGTGTTGCCTGATGCGCACTGTATCTTGGCATTGCTGACTCAACCCCAAGTTCAGCCATGAAATATCTGTGCTACGATTACTGACGTGTTCAGCTGGAACGAGTACGAATACAATATATGCGATCTAATCCGGCGTTTCTCCAGTCGTGGGAACCGACTTCAAATTCTTTAGGTACCTAAAGCCTTTGACGAATTTTATCATGACCGTTTGACGCGACCGCCGGTCATCAATCCCATATGTTTTCAGGCACCCTCAGAACTTATTTGAGAGGCATATGGTCAGTGGCTTATTTCAAGTCAAAAAAGCACGTGTAAACTGGACGAGCGGACTCCGACGATTTCTCAACAATCTGGCGTAAGGCGCAGATCTGGTCAGAGGTGCTTTGGCCTGGCATGAGGTCACCGGCTCTTCTAGAATCTCAGAGTCAGATATTCCGCGGCACCGCCTTTCTAATATCATTTCTTAAATCTTTCCCTGGAGACTCAATCACATAGTACTACTATAACTGGAGCGATCTCTCTGGTTTTAATTCTTTAGCAGCGACATTGCAGAGTCCCCCTTTTTCCAGTCCACTGATACGTCCTCCGTACCACTGCAGTTTGAAAGACGTGTGCAAGTCACACGTGCCTTGTTCACGTAAAGCTGTAACCATTTCAGAAAGGATTTTATCGATTCCAATAGCCTTGCGGCATTTCAAGCTTGCAACAACTTCTGCCATCTCATATAGTGAAGAACTAAATCCGTTGCCTGCTGCTCTTCCGACCAGTGTTCCTGCGGTTGCTTGGGGTAAAAGTGTTCCTCAAAGTACTTTCTCCAACGTCAAGCTCTGTCCCCTCCCTTGAGGGTTCTAAGACTGTCTTTCTTTCTATCTTGGAAATGACGGAAGGTATCCCAGATTATCTTGCTTGCCGTTTTGAAAATCGACTCCAGCGCCTCACCAAACATCACCAAACTGAGGAATCAGCTTTCACTTTCA